TTCATGAAGTTCTGTTTTTTACATATTAATATTATGGTTTTTTTTGCAAAGGATGTATATTCTCATAATAAAAACAATGTCACTAAATGTATGTAATATTTTGAGTGAATATCCCATGTATAAAAGGAGTGTGATACTTTTGTATCACAAAACAGGATACTATATTCAAAGGAGACATGTAGCAGAAAATGCATGTCATTACATAGGTGAGCACTCCCTTAAAACGCACTGTACATCCGATGAGACACTGAAGAAACACTCAAAAAATTCTGAATTATTTATTTCCATAGGTTATCCTTTAAAACCATTTTAAGATCACTCAAAATAACCGCTCCTGTCAGCATACAATATTCTCAGAAGTTGGATGAAGTAAAAGACTTCTGGTGTAGGAGACAAAGTGGTGAATGCGAGATTACTTAGCTAAGGTTTTAGATGGATCAAAACCATCTTTCTCTGTTTCCTTAGACACTGTGATAGAATTGAGAGTTATTTTTTTTTTAAAAATAGACATTTTATTTTTGCCTTCAAATTGTTTCCTTCTACTTTCTATCTTTGATCCATGCACAAATCTCACCTCTCCATCAAAGAGGGGCATCAGCTTCCCAGATTCCAAATGCCAGAAGTGATCATCTAGTCTGATCTCCTTTATAACACAGGCCATTGAACTTCCCCAAAATAATTCATAGTGCAGCGCTTTTAGAGAAAAACATTTGATCTTGATTTAAAAATTCTCAGTCATGGAGAATCTACCATGACCCTTGGTAAATTATTTCAAAGGTTACTTATTGTCACTGTTATAAATATACACCTTATTACCAGTCTGCATTTATCTAGCTTCAATTTCCATCCATTGGATTGTGTTATATCTTTCTCTGCTAGATTGAAGAGCCCACTATTAAATATTTGTACCTCATGTAGGTATTTATACTTACCCCTTAACCTTCTCTTTGTTAAGTTAAATAGATTGAGCTCTTTGAATCTATCACTGTAAGGGATGCTTTCTAATTCTTTAATCATTCTCATGGCTCTTTGCTGAACCCTTTCCATTTATCAACATCCATTCTAAATTGTGGACAACAGATCTGGCACAGTATTCTGGCAGTGGTTGCACGAGTGTCAAATAGAGAAGTAAAATAACCTTTCTACTCCTACTCAAGATTCCCCTATTTATGCACCCTAGGATCTTATCAGCTCTTTTGGTCACAGCATCAGAGTGGGAGCTTATGTTCAGCTGCTTATCTATCATAACCCTCAAATCTTTTTCAGAGCCATTGCTTCCCAGGATAGAGTCCCCCATCCTGTATGTATGGCCTACATTATTTGTTCCTAGATGTGTACATTTACATTTAGCCATATATACTCTGGAACCCTCCCACCTTGCAGAGTCCTAGAGCCCAGGCTCCAGCCTGAGCCCGAACGTCTACACTGCAATTAAACAGCCCTTTAGCCTGAGGCCCGCGAACCTGAGTCAGCTGGCATAGGCCAGTCGCAGGTGTCTAACTGTAGTATAGACATATCCTAAGTTGCAGAGTAGGCAGCAGTATGTCAAAGCATATTACCTAACTTTTAGCGTGTGGTAGCAGAGTCCATGTGCCCTGTTAGTGCGTAGCAAGCTAGGTGCTGTAGATTTACACCCCAGCTTGCCACCACTGATTGACTGTGTAGACAAGCCCTCAGTGTTTGTTTGGGACTAAGGCTGACTGAAAAAAGATATTTTTCACAGAGATTTTTTTTTAATTTAGGGGTTTTTTTTCAAATTCTCACAAAACGTATAGTTAATGAAAAAAACACGCACACACAGTTTGGTTTTTGAAAGTAATTGAAAACAAAAAAAGATTGTTTTTTCATTTAAAAAAAACCCCTGAAAATGTTTGTTCAGAAAGGATTTTTAGCTACTTCTACTGAGGACACAATGCAGCCAAGAGGCATCAGAACACACTGCCTGAGCTCCTATGGGGCTCATTCTGCTGTACTGTGCCTAGATAGAATTATTCACGTAGCCCCCTGTGAAGAGAAACTTGCAGAGATTTTCTCCTCTTGGTCTTTTCCCGCAAATTTCCCCACAGGCGGTGGCAGTCAAGCCCACACAGTGATTAAGTACCATTTCAAAGGGTCATTTTAACAGAGTGGTCCATAGAGTAGCTTGTTGTGTAATATCATTTTCAGGCATAACTATCCATTACAGGCAGGCTTAACATGTACTTAGGTGTTACTTTTCCTGAGTTTGTATTTAAAGTCTCTGTCACTGAGCTGTCTTTATAGACACTCTGTTCCTTTAATCCACTCTGTGTTAAAATTTTTATTCTTCTTTCTCTTATCTTTTAGCAGCGATAAAGGGTATATCAGAAGATTTAGTACTGCCACATTTTTAGAGTTCTTCTTTGTCATTTAAAATGGAAAAAGAAAGTGTAGATGAGGAGGCAGAAATTCTGGAAGAAAAAGTTAGATGCAGACGTTTATCGCTAAACAAGTATACAATTCTACAATATTGAGTTAAAATACTAATTAGTATTAGTATAATAAATACTAATTTATTATAATGTTAATGACAGCTTAAAGTCTTAGTGTAGGTTTCTTAGACTAGCTTTTCTGTATTGGAGAGAGAGCACGCTCTCAAAACTGAACTTTGGGCAGGATTTTCAAAAGCATGTACAAGATTAAATCCCATTGATTTATGAGTTTGTCATACTGAAAGTCAGTGGGATTTGTGCTATTAAGTCATTTAGACACTTTTGAAAATCCCATCCTTTTCATTCAGTTAGGCACTTGGGGATGAGCAATGTACTTTTCAAGCACTCATTAAATTTAGGCTTATAATATATCTTTGATGTGGACAAGTATTGTGCTCACTTAAAAGATGAGAAGACTGAAGTATGTTAGCTGAGATTTTCAAAACTGACTAGAGGATTTAGCAACACAACTCTCATTAATGGGAGATGTCTGACTAAATTCTTTAATAAGCTTTGAAAATCTCAACCATTGATATTAAGGTACAAATTCTGCTCTATTTTTATACCTGTGTAAATTGTAACTCAAATGAAGTTAATGAGTTATTCTTCATTTCCACCAGTGTGATTAAGAGCAGAATTTGATCGTAAGTGATTTGGCCAAGGTCACACAAGAAATATGGGGTGGAACAAGATAAAAGAATCCAGGTCTCCTGCCCCTACAGGCTGCACCTTTATTGCAAGACCATCCTTCTTCCTCTTGCATACCAACTGCCTACTTTAACATAGAGCACTCAAAAATAAATCATAAGAAAATGCTCCAATCTCACATGACTGTGGCAATGGACAATAAGCAACACACACAACTGTGGTAGTAGATAGTAAACAACATATTTCATCTTGGAAGAATCTTTTCAGTAACATAGCTTGACACAATTAGTAATATAATTTGTCACAACCATGCCCTGATTTTCAGAGGCACTGAGAGTCTGAAGTTTGCACTTAAGTCAATAAGATTGCTCAGAACTAGAGGTGTTTGGGAATATTTGATTAAATATTTTTGTCAGAAAAATCTGATTCATCAGAACTTATACTGTTATTGGGAAAGAGTTAGTTGTGATGAATTTCTCAACCTGGGGAAAAAAGTTTAGCAAATGTTGAAACATTTCATTTTGACATTTTCTAAATGAAACCTTCCATTTTTCCTGTTAGAAACAACCTTTCATTTTGAAATTTAAGTTAATTGTAAAAAAATCAAACAAATACAATTTAAAGATTGTCATCATTATAATTATCAAATGAAATATTTTGATTTACTTGAACCATTTTTTTCCAGAGAGTTTTGACTTCTTGTCCCAATTTGGGGCAGAAAATGTTTTCAAAACCTCAAATTTTTTCAGAGGACGAGAAGAATGTTTTCCACCCAGCTCTACTCAGATTGGTTGAAAATTGGACCATTACTGTACATACATAACGAATATCCAAAAGCATTTCCATCTGTCAGATTATAACATGCGTAATCATAAAGTCCAACCATGACACCAAAGCAGAATCTTCATTTTCTGAGATGCTAGTGTTAAGCTAAAAAATAAAAATATCCCAAGCTCTCCTACGGTGTTAACTTGCCAGTAGATTGTTGTTCTTTACAATTGATCTTGCAAGGATTCCTTTCCTTCTTTCTGGTGTGTTTTATATATGGTTTAAATATTGTTGGTTCTCTTTAATGGATCCATTCAGCAGATGGGGCTTTAATGCTTACTTTGCTTCACTGAAAAATGCTATATCCAACCTTCTTCTGAAAGGAAGCAATTGAAAGTATTAGATGCAAAAGTTATTCAAAGCATATGTAAAGTTAAGACAGAATTGGTTAGATAATATTCTGTTCCATTTTTATCAATGTTGCAAACCAATTTTATTCTAAAAGGAAAATTATACAAATGAATAAAATAAAAGATAGCTTATTCCCATCAGAACTTAGAAGATAAAGTACTTCACCCATCATGCAATAGTGAACAGTAAAACCTGTTGTTAGGTTGGGAACTAGCACATATTACTCTTGAAATGTACATAACATTTTTAGGATGATTAGTAACCCAGCAACAGTAAACTTGCTTCATACATTAATGAATCACCATCATCCTGATCTGTTCAGTATAAATGAAGATGGTTTACTGAAAAAAAATGAACTTAATTCCATGATAAAATATGCACCAGTTATAGGCATCTTTTGTATGTCAGAATTTAGTCAAATGTGGTTTAGTACCAAAAAACCCTGAGTAAATCCCAAAGGTCTTCATACATCATTGCCACCACCTTTATGTGCAGTTAGTGCATTTGTCACTCTGCCTGAAACAGAAATGGGATAGAGCAAGCAGAGAAAAATGTGAAATAAACAAAGGAACTAACTCTGCTCTCATATACTCCTGGTATAAATCAGAACTAAGCCCTGGTCTACACTAGGACTTTAGGTCGAATTTAGCAGCGTTAAATCGATGTAAACCTGCACCCGTCCACACAATGAAGCCCTTTATTTCGACTTAAAGGGCTCTTAAAATCGATTTCCTTACTCCACCCCTGACAAGTGGATTAGCGCTTAAATCGATGTTGCCGGCTCGAATTTGGGGTACTGTGGACACAATTCGACGGTATTGGCCTCCGGGAGCTATCCCAGAGTGCTCCATTGTGACCGCTCTGGACAGCACTCTCAACTCAGATGCACTGGCCAGGTAGACAGGAAAAGAACCACGAACTTTTGAATCTCATTTCCTGTTTGGCCAGCGTGGCAAGCTGCAGGTGACCATGCAGAGCTCATCAGCAGAGGTGACCATGATGGAGTCCCAGAATCGCAAAAGAGCTCCAGCATGGACCGAACGGGAGGTACGGGATCTGATCGCTGTTTGGGGAGAGGAATCCGTGCTATCAGAACTCCGTTCCAGTTTTCGAAATGCCAAAACCTTTGTGAAAATCTCCCAGGGCATGAAGGACAGAGGCCATAACAGGGACCCGAAGCAGTGCCGCGTGAAACTGAAGGAGCTGAGGCAAGCCTACCAGAAAACCAGAGAGGCGAACAGCCGCTCTGGGTCAGAGCCCCAAACATGCCGCTTCTATGATGAGCTGCATGCCATTTTAGGGGGTTCAGCCACCACTAACCCAGCCATGTTGTTTGACTCCTTCAATGGAGATGGAGGCAATACGGAAGCAGGTTTTGGGGACGAAGAAGATGATGATGAGGAGGAGGTTGTAGATAGCTCACAGCAAGCAAGCGGAGAAACCGGTTTTCCCGACAGCCAGGAACTGTTTCTCACCCTAGACCTGGAGCCAGTACCCCCGAACCCACCCAAGGCTGCCTCCTGGACCCAGCAGGCGGAGAAGGGACCTCTGGTGAGTGTACCTTTTAAAATACTATACATGGTTTAAAAGCAAGCATGTGAAAGGATTACTTTGCCCTGGCATTTGCGGTTCTCCTAGATGTAGTCCTAAAGCCTTTGCAAAAGGTTTCTGGGGAGGGCAGCCTTATTGCGTCCTTCATGGTAGGACACTTTACCACTCCAGGCCAGTAACACGTACTCGGGAATCATTGTAGAACAAAGCATTGCAGTGTATGTTTGCTGGCATTCAAACAACATCCGTTCTTTATCTCTCTGTGTTATCCTCAGGAGAGTGAGATATAATTCATGGTCACCTGGTTGAAATAGAGTGCTTTTCTTCAGGGGACACTCAGAGGAGCCCATTCCTGCTGGGCTGTTTGCCTGTGGCTAAACAGAAATGTTCCCCGCTGTTAGCCACAGGGAGGGGGGAAGGTTGAGGGGGTAGTCACTCGGTGGGAGGAGGCAAAATGCGACCTTGTAACGAAAGCACATGTGCTATGTATGTAATGTTAACAGCAAGCTTTACCCTGAAAGAGTGTAGCCACTGTTTTATAAAATGTGTCTTTTTAAATACCGCTGTCCCTTTTTTTTTCTCCACCAGCTGCATGTGTTTCAATGATCACAGGATCTTCTCCTTCCCAGAGGCTAGTGAAGCTTAGAAAGAAAGAAAAAAAAATGCACTCGCGATGAAATGTTCTCCGAGCTCATGCTGTCCTCCCACACTGACAGAGCACAGACGAATGCGTGGAGGCAAATAATGTCAGAGTGCAGGAAAGCACAAAATGACCGGGAGGAGAGGTGGCGGGCTGAAGAGAGTAAATGGCGGGCTGAAGAGAGTAAGTGGCGGGCAGAAGACAGGGCTGAAGCTCAAATGTGGTGGCAGCGTGATGAGAGGAGGCAGGATTCAATGCTGAGGCTGCTGCAGGACCAAACCAGTATGCTGCAGTGTATGGTTGAGCTGCAGCAAAGGCAGCTGGAGCACAGACTGCCACTGCTGCCCCTCTGTAACCAACCGCCCTCCTCCCCAAGTTCCATAGCCTCCACACCCAGACGCCCAAGAACGCGGTGGGGGGGCCTCCGGCCAACCAGCCACTCCACCACAGAGGATTGCCCAAAAAAAAGAAGGCTGTCATTCAATAAATTTTAAAGTTGTAAACTTTTAAAGTGCTGTGCTTAAAGTGCTGTGTGGCATTTTCCTTCCCTCCTCCACCACCCCTCCTGGGCTACCTTGGTAGTCATCCCCCTGTTTGTGTGATGAATGAATAAAGAATGCATGAATGTGAAGCAACAATGACTTTATTGCCTCTGCAAGCGGTGATTGAAGGGAGGAGGGGAGGGTGGTTAGCTTACAGGGAAGTAGAGTGAACCAAGGGGCGGGGGGTTTCATCAAGGAGAAACAAACAGAACTTTCACACCGTAGCCTGGCCAGTCATGAAACTGGTTTTCAAAGCTTCTCTGATGCGTACCGCGCCCTCCTGTGCTCTTCTAACCGCCCTGGTGTCTGGCTGCGCGTAACCAGCAGCCAGGCGATTTGCCTCAACCTCCCACCCCGCCATAAACGTCTCCCCCTTACTCTCACAGATATTGTGGAGCACACAGCAAGCAGTAATAACGGTGGAAATATTGGTTTCGCTGAGGTCTAAGCGAGTCAGTAAACTGCGCCAGCGCGCCTTTAAACGTCCAAATGCACATTCTACCACCATTCTGCACTTGCTCAGCCTGTAGTTGAACAGCTCCTGACTACTGTCCAGGCTGCCTGTGTACGGCTTCATGAGCCATGGCATTAAGGGGTAGGCTGGGTCCCCAAGGATACATATAGGCATTTCAACATCCCCAACAGTTATTTTCTGGTCTGGGAATAAAGTCCCTTCCTGCAGCTTTTGAAACAGACCAGAGTTCCTGAAGATGCGAGCATCATGCACCTTTCCCGGCCATCCCACGTTGATGTTGGTGAAACGTCCCTTGTGATCCACCAGAGCTTGCAGCACTATCGAAAAGTACCCCTTGCGGTTTATGTACTCGGCGGCTTGGTGCTCCGGTGCCAAGATAGGGATATGGGTTCCGTCTATAGCCCCACCACAGTTAGGGAATCCCATTGCAGCAAAGCCATCCACTATGACCTGGACATTTCCCAGGGTCACTACCCTTGATATCAGCAGATCATTGATTGCGTGGGCTACTTGCATCACAGCAGCCCCCACAGTAGATTTGCCCACTCCAAATTGATTCCCAACTGACCGGTAGCTGTCTGGCGTTGCAAGCTTCCACAGGGCTATCGCCACTCGCTTCTCAACTGTGAGGGCTGCTCTCATCTTGGTATTCATGCGCCTCAGGGCAGGGGAAAGCAAGTCACAAAGTTCCATGAAAGTGCCCCTATGCATGCGAAAGTTTCGCAGACACTGGGAATCGTCCCAGACCTGCAACACTATGCGGTCCCACCAGTCTGTGCTTGTTTCCCGAGCCCAGAATCGGTGTTCCACCGCATGAACCTGCCCCATTAGCACCATGATGCATGCATTGGCAGGGCCCATGCTTTCAGAGAAATCTGTGTCCATGTCCTGATCACTCACGTGACCGCGCTGACGTCGCCTCCCCGCCCGGTATCGCTTTGCCAGGTTCTGGTGCTGCATATACTGCTGGATAATGCGTGTGGTGTTTAATGTGCTCCTAATTGCCAAAGTGAGCTGAGCGGCCTCCATGCTTGCCTTGGTATGGCGTCCGCACAGAAAAAAGGCGCGGAACGATTGTCTGCCGTTGCTCTGACGGAGGGAGGGGCGACTGATGACACGGCTTACAGGGTTGGCTTCAGGGAGCTAAAATCAACAAAGGGGGTGGCTTTACATCAAGGAGTATTTCAGGCAGGACTTCACAGAGGGTTCCAATAAGAAATGGTGCACCTAAGTTATCGTTCTTATTGGAACAAGGAGGTTAGCCTGGCCTCTGACTGATACATGCCTAGATTTACCTCGCTGCACCTTCTCTGTGAGTGACTTGCAGTGTGACCTAGAGGAATGAGTCCCCTAGACAGGGGAGGAGGCAAATGAGTACAAAACAAATCTGGTCTATTTCTTGTTTTGACCCACTCCATCTATCTTTTACATCTTTGGCTGGCAGCAGACGGTGCAGAAGGACTGCATGCCATCCACATCTCATGGCTGCTCGGCAGAAGATGGTACAGTACGACTGCTAGCCATCCCCATCTCTTGCCTGCATGGCAGAAGATGGTGCAATACGACTGCTAGCAATCCTCATCTCTTAACTGCCTGGCAGAAGATGGTACAGTACGACTGCTAGCAGTCCGTATCGCCTGCCCGCTCACCATAAGACGGTTCAATAGGACTGACTGCAGGCAGGACTAAAGAGAATGACCTGGTCAAGTCACTCCAAATTTAGTCCCTGCACCCACGTCTGCCCAGGCGCTCCCAGCCGACGTGGCCAGGAGCACCTTGGACAGGACGATGACGGCTACCAGTCGTACTGTACCGTCTGCTGCCACAAGGCAAGGGGTTGCTGCTACTGTGTAGCAATGCCGTACCGCGTCTGCCAGCACCCAGGAGACATAGGGTGACGGTTACCTGAGCGGGCTCCATGCTTGCCGTGGTATGGCGTCTGCACAGGTAACTCAGGAAAAAAGGCGCGAAATGATTGTCTGCCCTTGCTTTCACGGAGGGAGGGAGGGAACGGGGGCCTGACGATATGTACCCAGAACCACCCGCGACAATGTTTTAGCCCCATCAGGCATTGGGATCTCAACCCAGAATTCCAATGGGCAGCGGAGACTGCGGGAACTGTGGGATAGCTACCCACAGTGCAACGCTCCGGAAGTCGACTCTAGCCTTGGTACTGTGGAAGCACTCCGCCGAGTTAACGCACTTAATGCACTTAGAGCATTTTCTGTGGGGACACACACACTCGAATATATAAAACCGATTTCTAAAAAACCGACTTCTATAAATTCGACCTTATTCCGTAGTGTAGACATACCCTAACTCATTAGTGTGAAGTTGTATTACACTGTGTGAAGCTGTTGTAAATGAGAGCAGAATTAAGCTCATAAGGTGAAATCCCATATCGAAGGCATTGAGTATTTTGCAATTGCCATTAATGCGGCCAGGATTTCCCCATAATATTTAACATAACATTTTGAACTCTCTTTTAAATGGAAATAAACTTTTTCATATTTGAAAACAATTAGTTCCACTCTCTCAGTGGAGTGCTTTTGAAAATATGGACACTTCATTTAGGTGCCTAAATAAACACTGAGCTCTTTTGAAAATCTGCCCCAGAATTTACTATTTTAAAGTTGCTGTGTTTGATTGATCAGCTCATGTTTATTTGTAATTGCTGAGGCCACATACCATGGCAATGGATGCTGTGTAAAATTACGTAAAGTAGCTGTGCTGTGGTTACCATTATTCTTGTATTAGCATTATCTTGTATCCAACTGGATAAACATCTCTTCAATATGAAACATTTTTGTTTAAAAAAAACCCTATGCCTTTTTCTCTGTAAAATGTTAATATAAAACATGGTTGAGTGTATTTCCTTTATCATTGAGCAAAAGAGGTAACTTAGCACTTGTAAAAGCCAGTGAGTCAAAGAAAAAGTTCTGGTCTCACTTGTCTGTGGTCAGGTTCCAAATTTCTTTTCTCTCCCCTCATTCTCTGCTCCTTCACTGTGTATTTGGAAGACAAATAAGGGAAACTAGAAAACTAAAAAGAAATGACAGTGGACCAACACTTGTCCTCAGATGTATAGCTTCAACTGAGTTAAATGGGAACTAGCCATGTACATCAAAGGACAGAATTTGGCCCATAATTTTATCTGTATATTTAATTCATGTTAGAAGCCTGCTGGATTTTTTAAAAATGCTCTTATTAAAAAAAAAAAAAAAAGCAAACCACCAAACCCAGCTTATTTATAAAACCACCATCTTATTGTACAATATTTTAGCACAGTTATTACTATTAAGTGTTATATAAAATTACTTTCTTTTACTCATGATATTGAAAGTTGCAATGCATTGTGGAATCTTCCATTTTTGTGAAACTGACATTATTTTTAAAAGTGATTCAGCTCTCAGTAAACAGCAGGACTGTAAAGAGGTACACAGTGGAAAAGATAAAATGAGGATACAATATTGGGATCTGTATCTGGATTGGGTTTGTGCTATGGTTCAGATCTTGAATCAAGAGCAAGGATTAGGTTTGGGCTCACGTACAGTTTTGAATGTGGAATTCTCATGAAATCAGCAGTTCTAGCAAAATTTCATATCCTTTGTGGCTTTGGATTTCAGTTAGAACCAACATCATACATAGGGGCAGGTCGAATGAATTTATGTTTTCCCCCCTCAGTGGGGATTTGAAATTCTAGTTTTGGTCCCTCTCTGCATTGCAGCTGCTTTCAAGCTGTCAGCAATGATGGTGCCTCCTAGTAAATATTCAATATAAGAAAGCCAGCCCTCAAGTGCATTTTCTTTGTGTTTTCAAGGTCATGGCAGATTCTCTGATCAGGCCCAGATAAATTTCAAAGAAATAAAAGGCTATTTTAGCATAAATGGTCTGACCTATAATTGTTAAAGTATCCATAGGTTTAACCTGCTGCAATGCCATTGCTAACCCACATAGTGTGTGTGTGGTGTTCTCCTTGCATTAGGACATGTAAACTCCTCATGTTCAGCTGTGACATGAGCCAAAAACTTTGTCATGGGATAAATAATTAGTTACCCAGAGAACAATTCTGTTTCACAAAAAAATCTGGGTTTTGAAATGTGTTTGTGTTCAGATGCAAAACTTAACTGAAACTGAATTTTCTCTCTCTCACACGCACAGATAGAATGTGATCAGA